AGTGCTTTTCCTTGGCAACAATCCACACGCTCTCCAAATTCCGGTTCATCTAATCGAGAAATAGAGCTTCGGATATCAATTTAACACTCTCTTAGGAGCGTAAAATACTGCGCTCCAGCGTCACTTATCTGACCCACGGCGAAAACAAACACTTCCTCCCCCTCCCCTACCCCGGGAGTTGTGCATACGGGCCTATGATGAGTCAATTTCTTGGTTTCCTTCGGGGTAATGTCTCGTGACATAAGGACATCTTCGTTGCACTCCCTATCACTGCAGCTCTTGAAAATCGGTAAACACCAGCGATTTTGTCCTCCGTTCCATTATAATCTCACTTTGTACAGTTTGTGGTTTAGTGGCGCACCCAGTGGAGTGTATAAACAAATGAATAAGTAAATAAACAAGGCAAAAACAAAAAGTTATCTCCCACACACGGCCTTCTGGCGCGGTTTACGTCTCATACAATAATCCTTGAAATTTCGAGTAATAGGATTGTTAACATTTTTCACCAAGAACACTTCGCATAAGCGAAATACAAATCGTAGCCGTCACTTAGTTTGTCGTAGGGGTAGATGATCCAAGGGTGCCACAGCCCACCTCAGTGCCTAGGTGGGTAGGGTCCCCTGGCAAAAGTGATCCAAATCCATATCCATTGTCAATAGATGGAGGTGTCATTGCAGTACCGCTACACACTATTTCATAGCTTCATGGATTGAACTGCATACTAAGACTGATTAGGTTCTTAAGTTCTCAATCACGCCAAGGTTTACAAATCTGTGTCCAGCATAATACGAACAGTAATATCAACATGGATCACTTCTGTACCGCACGTACGAATTTCCTCCAAATTCTTTAATTCTCACAGTTGAGCTTTTCAACGAGGTGTCTGGATTATGATAATTGAAGAAAGACAAGTAAATATATGCTAGAAAGCTTGAAAAATAATCCCGTTTTGGATCTGAAAAGTGTAGATGCAGAAGGAAACCAAGAAATTGACTCATCATAGAGTCGGAACGCTATGATGGCATATAAACGCGTATACCGCCGTTCCAAATAATGATCCAAATCCAGGACTTTTAACAGGGTGTTGGCGTCACTGCAGCACCGCTACACACTATTTCTGCCTTAGCCAAAGCAATCATTAGAATAAACGCTGAAAAAGTTCTTTTCCAGCAAGGTTAACGATACGTGCAATACTAGAAGCACAGTAGAGTCCTAGAAGGCTCTCGCTACATAAAAAATATGGACTTTTGACATTTAACCTTTTCAAGGAATGGTGTATGCATGGCGTATCCGGAATTATTGATTGATGCCAAATGAACAACTCACTGGCTCCACGAGAAAGATTCATACAGCCAAGAATTGAATGGATGCACATAAGATAGGATATTATTTTCAATGAGCTATAGGAAGTTGGGACGAGGTTTTCATTGGTCATTGTCACATACGCATGGCCCCGCGATCGAATTCCGTTCAATTTCTGTCCATTCCGGAGATTTTCGCCCATTCCGGAGAAAAAGTCGAAGGCGGTGGCTCATCCCGAAGATGGGACATTTATCATTTCCACCCTAAAGATGAGATTGTTGACGCCCCAAACTGTATCACTTCATTCGATAGGAAAATAATCTCAGTTTTTTGCAGAAACGATTTTGCAAGCATTACTCAAACTACTGGAGTAATGTTTACAACGGAATGAATACTGCGGTCAAACTTTGCAGCAAAAATTCTCAGCAGATGGGCTTAAACTTTCATTAATGAACATTTTTCTTGTTCATCACATCAATGACTCATGTTTTGCTTGTGCTGCAGAAACATTGGTGGGCAACTGGCTACAGTAGACTGAAGCAGGAGCAAACCAACATATTTCGTGAAACCGTAGGTAACTTGATCAGTTAAAGGTTTCTGAAGAAATAAACTCATAGTGGACAGTACTGATTCTGTTCTCAATTCAGTCTACTGAGAAATTATGTAGGTTGCTTATGATCTCATACGCGGAGGCTAATGGTAAGAAGGTGGGAAAACAGGCTTGAGACGGAGCATCCATGTTTTGTCCATTCAGCTGGGAATCGCTATTTGTCCACAGCGACTTAGTGAGATAAGGAAATAGGGATGAGTGAAAGAGTGAAAGAGGGGGTTGGGGAGGGCGGTATCCGGAAGACTTCACTTTCCTTCCCTTTTTCCAGCGTATCTAACCACACAGCACTGCAAAAAAAATTTCAGAAGGAACAAATAAAGAGAAAAGCGACGGAAAAGTGCTACAAAGATTTGTTGAGTTTTTCTTCTCCTTTCCACACCATTGATCAACTACAGTACGTCACCCCAACTGAATAAGGTCTTCCAGCAAAAAGAAACGAAGGCTCCATTTTTACGGCTCAACGATAGAACATCTTCTCCTCTTGTGATAGATTACTCCGTTCAAAGAAAGACGTCACCCAAGCCAACATTTTTGCCAAATTCTCCTGAAGCTCGCCAGGGGCCACCCTCACAGGCCATTAAGTGCGAAAGATCCACTGGTCTGATGAGACACTGTCTAATTCCTTCAAGATGCACTATCCTAAGAATAATTCTTAATAGCTTCAGGGCAATCAAGTGCTCAATGGACCATTTACTAGCGTATCTGGTGGATGAATTCAGGCACACTGACTTTATCCTCGCTCTATTAATTGAAAAACCCAGAAATACAAAAAAGGCTTCCCGGCCTAATGATTCAGTGCATGGATAGTGCCAGGGCTATGCCCACCTTTTGGTTTTGTTTGGCTAATGACTGGGAGGATTAAGTCGAAACCATTCCCTAGCGCATTCACTCTTCACCCTGGTGGAAGATTTTCATAGGTACTCTTCCCGAGGCCACACGATGCCACACATTTGCTCAAAGCGTTAATACTACCCATCAAAAGAAAAGGGCTGCCTGTAACGAACTAATCTAATTTCGACCGGGGTTCAATTTACAGGATATTAGCAGAATGTTTAGCATCGAGCAAAAGGGTTCATTGCACAAAAACCCCTTATTACAGCATGCCCTTTGTGCAGATATCATAGAGGAAAAGCAAAAGCATGTACTTGCCTACGTGTGGGCATGAATGCTATGTGTGTGTGTCTGTGAATCACTGATAAGAGCCCGATTGGCGTCTTCAAAAGTGGTGCAAACACTCAAAAGGACACACTTCATGGACTGAGGACGATTTAACACCGGTTTTTGAGTATCAAAGCTGCAAGGTGTGCTGGCGCAGATCAAAGGATTACTTGCTGGGCAGAGCTCAACATCCCTTCACGCAAGTCAATTGTTAAATGCAAAATGGGCGACAAAAATGGTCCCGCTGTTGTTTTTTACACAGCGAGTTCCCAGCTCTAGAAAGCCAGCATATGGCCTTACCGAAGAGCGGCCTAGATAAGGCTTAACAGGGACATAAACACCGTCCCGAACATCCCATGGCTGTAAAGACTCAGAACAGAAGGGGGGGGGGCATGTCATATGGCCTTATAGAGGTGCGACGAGGGGGGCCTTGACTCATAATGTGGAGTGGAGCGCGCTTATGCGGAAAGCTTATTGTCCCGAGCGTGAATGAAATCTCGTCCAAACACCCCTAAGGCACCATAATCTCGTACCATTCTAGAAACGAAGAAATTCAAGCAAGACGAAATATTTTGGAATCTCCGCTGTGTGCTCGTCTTCTCCGCCACCAAAGTACAGTTCTGCGTCAATATATGTGCCCTTTTAGCCAATATTGGTCCTTAAAGATGTCGCCGGTTGCTCTTCCTTCGTTCTACTCTTACTTCCCTTGATATTGAGAAGTAATGCAAAGGTAGATTCCTCTACAAGTAATTTTTTCTTTGCACTTGATGATATACGACGTTCGCTGAGTTTCTTCTACAGGTTCAAAGCGTTTCCTCTCGATCTGNTTCCTTCGTTCTACTCTTACTTCCCTTGATATTGAGAAGTAATGCAAAGGTAGATTCCTCTACAAGTAATTTTTACTTTGCACTTGATGATATACGACATTCTCTGAGTTTCTTCTACAGGTTCAAAGCGTTGCCTCTCGATCTGAACCACACAATGCGGTTGTCTGGCCGTTTGAGACGGTCCCAATGTGCTGTAATGGGCGGTGAGCAAACGGAAAATCAGACGAAAAGTAGAGTACACATCAATGAAGAGACGCCACCGAAATGTTGAGGTGATAACGGGGGCTTGTGAGGAGAAGCCAGAGACACGGGGTGTACACGAGACGGACGGCAGCCCGACCGGCGTAGAGACGTCAGGCAATCGACGACGACCACACAACTATCCAGTCCTGCAATCGTCTTCCCCTTCATTTGCACATACCGACCGATACACACAGTTTTTGATTTTCCTGGATATTCCCTAGCTTGATCACCTTCGATTCGTCGCACCATTTTTTCATGTTTACATTGTTGATCATGCTGTTTGTTTGTGCAATTATGAATTATTAGACTTATTAGATTTCCTAAGTAGAATGCTCATTTCATTTAGATATATTCATTATTTATATTTATATCGCAAAAAGATTCAGGAACTCTTGCAATGTTTTTCAGAAATCTCGATTCCCTAGAATGGTAAATAGGAAATCAAAAATGAGATCCAATTCTCGAAATCAAACTAAAAGAGATTGAGAAACGTGAAACTGGTGTCCAGTCTCTTTTTATTTAGGTTTGAAAATTGGATCTCATTTTTAAAAAAACTATAAATAAATGATTGGCGGTCTAATTTTTTAGATTGATTATAATTAAATAATAATAATAAATAAGTCTGAATAAATGAATAAATAAATAAATGTCGATGAAAAGCCATATAGCTTTTGAAACTATGAAATGGCTCGGAAGCTCACCTTGAGCACTCAGTGTTAACCATGTAAAATGTCAGAAAAACACCAAATACGTTCTATCTGTAGCCCTTTCAATGTAGACGATTACTCGATTACGAGAGATTCTGAAGACTCTCACAAGACTGGCGATTTATGGACAAAACTTCAGTCTCGGACGGGATTCGAACCCGTACTTGTGCTTTCTGGGCACCGTGCCTTACCCAAATATATTTTCCAACTCCATTCCTCATACATCGCTCAGGGGAGAATACAGATTGAAACTCATTTTCCTTTTCGGACTTGTGAGGCGCTGTTCAAACTTTCCAAGTTGTTAGCAGGGAAACATTCGGTTGTTTATTATTCTTACTTAGGGAATATAAGTTCATGAAATACATACAAGTATTCCGAAAGCATTACTGTACAGAACTCAGTGACGAGCACGATTAAAAGGACTGACTGACATATGTGCATATTTACGGTAAATGTAGCAATAATTAAGACTGAAATTAACTATACAGTTCCATTTCTTCCTAGGTAATGTCTTGCTCCATGGAGATATTTACTTCATAGTAAGTTATCATGAAAAAGTCATTTTCGTGCTTAGTTTTTCCACATTTGTGTACACATATGTGAATGTTTTACGTAGATACATACATGTGTTTTGCGTCTTGCATAATTTTTCGTGATTACAGTAGATTTTTGAAGAAAACAAGCTCAAACCTAGTTGGGTATCGATCGATTTTGCTCGTTTGATGGATCCTTTGCCAGTTACTACTCGATGATTACTCAAGAGGGACAGCTTCGCCTGGATTGTAATGACTCTCTCTCTATCACAGCTGTCACAGTCATCATGTTCCGTTTTTATTGTTGGATTTGCTCATTGCTCACCTTTTTAACTATCCAATCAAACCAAATATCTAGAAAAATCCTCTTTTTGGAAAATTCAGAAACGTGTAAACATAAACAGACATTTTCAGCAGAAAGTAGGGTCTTTATGATGTCTCATTGTCTTTTTCAGTACGCTCAAGTTCGTAAAAGGGCAAAATTTTTCCTATAAAGGATTTTTCTTCTTATTATGACCCTTTTAACTGTTCCAACGAGAAGATTATCCCGGCTTTTATGTTCAAACTTTTCTCCTTTGAAAAAAAAGCGGTAAAAATGCGGTATTTCCTTATATGAAGGCAATGGATACGGTACGTGGAGGTACACTTTAAAGTTCTGTGGAAAAGCGCTTAACTGATAGCGGAGAAGTCGTTAGGCGCTTTCGTACCAGAAAGCAATCTAAAGGTGCCATAAATAATTTCCAAGGTCCCCGAAGCAGAGGACCATGTGGGAAATTCACCCAAACGATCTGCTTCTGATAAATGCTTGGTAGAAATTAATGTTTTCAAAATGAAGAAGGTGTCTGTGAAGCTTGATTAGCTTGTTTAGTTTATAGTTTTTATCGATCAATGGCTTCAGAATCGTGAAATGACCTTCGTTGGTGCCGATATTGATTGAATTGATTTGTTTTCATTTTTTCAGACCACACACATACATATCTAAAGTCACATTTGCCGGTGGTCTGGAAACGTCTAGGAATCCCCATATGAAATGTGAATACCGTCGATGAATTCGTTCAATGGGCAACTATAAATCCAGACCGCCAACATCGTGCTCAGGTAAGCTTACCAGTAATATTGCTTTGGACAATCGATTTTTACTTCTGCACAGTCTGAATTCTTCTGATTTTTTTCGGTTTCTATTGCTTATGATAGGACAAAGTTATTTCAAGCCATTTGTTTACCTCTTCCCTTCTCCTTGGCTGTGTCACTCAACCTATATTATACCCGAAAAAACTAGCTCACTCCTGCCACCCATTTTTCTGAGAAATTCTGAAAGCTACCGAGCAGTACAATTTTTTATGATAATCTTTAACTGGCCTGATTTTTTCTTGATTTTTGGCATAAATTTCAATTAGTCTCAGAGTTTGCTCGATATCATTGCAACTGTAAGAGGACCCCATTGACCGTAGGATTTTTTCTTTCGCACCGAGCTCGGTAGGTATTTGCGTCTTTCGCAGAAAATCAAGAAAATAACCGTTATAAATAAAAATAGTCAATAAATGAAGTTAACAATTTACTGAAATCGTAGTGACTCGAAAATTACATTGTAATGCCAGTTTCCAAAATGTTCCAATATTTCCAATTTACGGTCCGCATATCTTTTTTGTCTTAATATACTTTCACTCAAATCGTAACGGTTATAGGCATTTATTGGCTCATTCTGGAAGGTCTACGGTTGAACTGCTGATTGAGAGTTCTTACGAATGAGGCGATCAAATCATTTTTTTTNTTTTTTTTATCACAATTCACTTCTTAGCAGAAAAAGAAACGATCCGTCCAACATATTGAAGCATGTTGAGGAAAGGCAAGAAATTCATGCTGAATATCGACTAGTCCTGAGCTAGCCCACACTTTGCAAGATGCTCTCCCAAACGCCACATTACCTTCTCCACCCTGCTGCAGGTGCTAAGGCAGCTAGCCTCACCGTCACTTAGCAGGTGAAGACGACTCTACACAATGACGATGTGGCTTTCAGAACTAAGCAACACCTTATCAAACGTTTTTTTCTCTTACCAGTAGCTCTTCCACATAAATGTGTCGTGACATACAAAATGGTTTTTGAGACAAACGAAACGTTCCTGTTCTACTGCCATAAGTTGGATGAATTTTAGATGAGTTGAAAAAGAAAATCAGTGAAGGCTATGCAGTGGTGAGAAGTCGATTGAACGACGACATTAAAGCAAGGAATTCCACTTGGACACCACTGCAAATAGCTGCTTTGTGAGTTCATTCATTTCCTACACATTACTCATCTTCATTACGATCGAATTTTCAACTAAAAGAAAAACCACTTGGACAAAATAACTAGTTTTCTCTACTTCTACCATGTATTTTTCTTATTCTTTTCCATTCAGATTGAACTTATTTTTATGACAATATGGAATGATTCTTGATGATTCTTGGCCAAAGGCTAAAACATAGGGAGCTAGAGCTAGTTTACTCAAAAGCTTATAATCCACATATTAACCCATGCTGTTCTTCGAATCACTTCAAACTTGTGTAATTCAATACGAGGATGGAAGAGAGGGACCAGGGGAAGGAAGGGGACCAGGCTTCCTCAAACACTGACCAGAACGAATCTCACGAACGGTAGCAAAGGAAGCGAGGGATCAGACCACTGATATCAGGCCTTTGAAAGAGAGCCAGGTCTTGTCAAATCGCTACTTGAAACGGCAAGGACTATTAGGAACCCTGTCCATTTCTGACTGCTTTTTCCATAATCTGAGTTGTACTGGTAAATCTACTACAATCACATCCTTGATGCTACCAAAGCTACTCTACCCCAACCCTAACCCTACTGAGAGGCATAAGGACTTCTTTTCATGCCAAGTAGTGTGACCCTAACTGTTTTCAATGAACTAATCACATTTTCGTTTGAAAAATCTCGGTCAAACAGTTATAATGGAACTTTCAATCTTGTTCTCAAAACCTTTAAATTTGTAGTAAAACACGGTCGTAAACTAGAAATAGTAAGCTGTGGGTCCTTATAAGAAGAAAATGAAATGGGAACATTCGATGGGCTGTGTTTTCACTTTTTTCAAGTACTACAGAGCATCCTTCGGGACATCGGCATTCCGGAACTTGGGAGTTGCTCCATTGCTTCTTGTTTTCGAAGGAGCTTATGACTCACTGACTTGACCTTTTCACTTTGCCAATGACCAAGTGCATTCGGAAGATTCCACCCACACCCTCAATCATTCATATGTACACTGGAAAGTGGAGACCACCCTTGGATCCTGCTAGGACGCTTTGCATCGTGAAGTCTACTTCCGTATGTCTCTAAAGAGCCTTTCAGTGAGTTGATTGGTTGTCGGAAGAGTCACTCTAGCCCATCCAGGGCAGGCATGGGCAACGGAGGCGCTATTACAAGGGATAAATTATTAGATGTGGTAAATACATGATCGAATCCGACCGAGACACCAAGCCCCTACTTTTATGGACAGTAGATTCGTTTATGAGCATACTAATTCCCTATCTTGAAATCATATTTTGGTTCAAGGACACCGACAGCCATTGCTGTGATTTCTAATGAAAATCGAGTTTCTGAAGACACCTAGGATAGGACACCCCCGCCTTTATTCCCAGCTTCTGTTTCTGCTCTTTATTCCTTTCTTTCTGCACCTGACCTGCTCAATTCAACCATACATCAAAAAGACACTTTCCAGGGGGAACCACTAGAGTCACGTGCATGTCGAAAGAAATATATAGATTGAAAATGAATGCACGAGCAACACTTGATAGGCTGGCAAATCTGCGTCAGATATACTGGCCTTTTAGGGAGGAACATGATTGCTGTAATGCAGGGAAGGACTATGACCATTGCCAAATTGAATGTGGAACTATGCGTTACCAGTACATCAATCCTACGGCATTTTTAGTTTTTGCTACGATACCTGAACTCTTCCACAGCGGGTCTTGCCCACCCTGAATCTCGAATTCAGAAGGGATGTCCAACACCAGTAACCACTCATTCCATGGACTAGGCTCATACCTGCCATAGAAGGCCTTGTGAATGTGCGAGCGATACGTTAGCAAGCCACACGACAAACGCCATGATCGTCTAATGTGCCGTTCGAACCTAAGATCACACACCTGAGACGACCATAAACATGAAAAATACCTAGGACAGGTTCTTAATCCGTCCAGTCAACTGAATTTTTAGTGAAGGAACAGCAGAGGAGTTTGTACGACTTCTGACGCCAGAATCCATTGAATGCCGCACGTCACAGCAGCTATCGCTTCTCCATGTGATCTGTGCAGGGCAGGGTGAGTCGGTGAGTCCGATTTTTCGAGTTTTTATAGAAGAGTAGAATGTTCGGTAAATAGGATTATTCCAGAACTTTCAGCAAGTTGACAAACTCACAGCTCTATTAGATGCATGTGGAGATGATGCCACCAAGAAGAAAAACCTATTATCCCATCTGTCGAATAATGGATTCTCAGCTTTGCATGTTGCCGTCTACAGGGTGAGTTTAGCGTACTGTTTTCATTCCATTTGATTTCAAGAATTTTGATGAAAGCCTGTGAAAGCACCCTCCAAAGTTTGATGGATAAGAGTAGAGGGTCTATAAACCAAAAGTTCTGGTTTGAATCCAGTTTGAAGCTTAATTACCTGCCCATAAGTTGACGACCTATGTTGTAGTTGTAGTTGGACCTACAGACGCCCGTTTTGGAATAATAAAAGGTGCTGGAATTGGGAGATTTTGGCTAGCAGCAAAATGAATGTCCGTTATTTCTGTAGTCATAGGTAACGGTATACGAACCTACAGGTAACCGTGGCTTAATTCTAGGGTGACCTAGCTTTGGTGAAAAGCTTGCTGGAATGTGGAGCCGATCCTGGTTTGGGAGGACGGCATCAGCTACCTCCTCTTCATTTGGCTGCTATGATAGGAAGTTCGTCAATAGCACAGGTATGACCGAAAAACATCCATAGCAGATTGTAGATCATAATTTCATATCCACTTTCAATGTTATCGTTTTTTTTTCACTTCAATATTCCATAATCAGAGCCACACCGCAGTTTACCTCTAAAAGGCATTAGACACCTGGAATCCATTCGGAAATTTAAAAAAAACTGCTAAAATTCAAATTCTACCGTAATACTTATGTGAATCAATATTGTAATCAAAATCTGGGTCACGTGGCATCCTCGGATGCTTTTCTTATGAACCTTATCATTTCTAGCATTTTGCCAGCAGGGGTTTCGATCGCCCAGTGTTGTCATTTTGCCATTTTGGAAGATTTTAATTGCCGCGAAACCACTGCCGTTTGCGGGTGCAGTACGGGTGCAGTATTTCTATCCGGGAACCCGGGTAGAATACTGCACCCGTCCTGACCCTCGTCGGGTATAATCATAGGTATTGAAACCTTGTTTTGGGCCCTCTGCCGGAGAAAATGGGGAGAGAAAGCGAGTAATGAAATGTAACAAATTAACTTTTTTCTTCTCCAGTATTTCTGGGTCCCTACGAAAACTCAATTTCAGGCTCTGGTCACAGATGGGGCTTCGCTCGAAGCCAATGACTTCGTGCTTTTCACTGCTCTACATTGTGCTACGTATTTTGCTAACGAGCAGGTGTGTTTACGGTACTTTTTGTTCTCCAAATGGCATCTGCTGGAGTCACTACAGCATTACTAATAGATTAAGAAGGCCCATCAGTCAGGCTTTAGTTCTGCAGTGGAGCCATTTTTAGCAACAATTGCTTGCTGCCGAGACAGCTGACGGAAATATAGAAAGAAGGTGAAGCAGTAACAGATACTTCCGTTATGAACGCATGATCCCGGGATCAAATATCGGATCAGATGCAATCTATATTGAATTTCACCCACGGCCAAGCCTTTCAATCTCCTGGACGTAAATAGTTCTTCATTCGTCTAGGAACAAAAAATACTGCCTTCTGCCTCGAGATACTCTCACAAGTACTGTAGATGTGGGTGAAGTAGTAATTCCCACTAGGTTCACAATGATATCCAAATGCAAGAGGTCCGCCATGAAGCCAGCGAACTTTCTTCTTCAAGAACGTTGCAAGAATTGGGAGTAAAGTCTCGATGATATAGTCGTCTGGCGTTGATCGATTCCGCTTTGGGACGCGCCTCAGCATTTGACTCAATGAGAATCGTAGTGGCGTTTGAATGCGTAGGTAGTCTATACAATGACAATGAGTGGTCAGCCGATTCTGGGCAACTAAGTGCACGTCTCTTCCCGGACGATCTGGTGGCAAATTACCGACCCCGAAGAGATAGAGGGCTTGTGTGGCTTATGTAGGTGAAGGTCCAGGATTAGAACTCCGGGTGATGCGTGTAACACTGCGCCACTTGGCACTACACCATCTCCGCACGAGTGGATGAAATACCATTCCATATTTGGTATTTTTTGTTTTGAATATCAAAGCTCAAATATTCAAGGTCGTACGATGTCTGTTGAATTGTGGAGCTGATGGGAACGTATGTGGTGGAGTAAAAGATCGTCCGTTACATTTGGCCGCTAGTCGAGGACTTTCCGCCATTGCCTCGCTTCTTCTCGAGGCCGGAGCCGATCGTGAGTCTCACTATATCATTAGCACTTCGTTTTTTGTCATCAGCGACTTATATTGATTAGCCCTCCATTATTAAACTAGACCATTACTCATCTCTCCTTTCTGACAGATGGGTGTCAGAAAAAACTGGTGAGTAATGGTCATTTTGGATTCTGATGAAAGTTCGCTATCAGATTGACATTTATCTTCCTCAAAACGAATTCACCTTTCATCAGTCATTTTTTCTAGCGTCACTTGGCCTAGATATTCACAACAGTATGCCTGAAATTTCAGCTCAACTGGCCGATGACGAAGGAAATCTCCCGCTACATTTCGCTGCCAAGACCGGTCACATGGCTGTGCTGAACATTCTGCTTAAGAACAGCAAGAACTTATCAGAAGTACTGTTAGCCCTTTTAAAACTTACATCACAGCGAGACCACAACACCAGAGTAGAACCTTTCTCGATGAGAAATCCAAAGAGCAAAGTATCCCCACACACAACGGTCGAGACCCACCCATGATCCAGCATGAACAAGTGGGGACTATCCGTGTCGTAACAAATAATTTATTCAATCCGACTCTTGCATAAGGAGGCGACTTCTTTACTTACCTGTCCATTCCCCGAGAAAATGCCACAGGTGGAAAAGAACGCGGCGCATACTATCAAAATGCAACAGCTCCATCAAAAAATCTCGTGGAGATTCATGAGATGTCGCCCTATCTCTCCAGCTCGGCACTTTCCGGGGAATGAAAATTCGACCGGTACTGCCGAAACATTAACCGCTAATGAAGGTTGTTAATAATCTAGGAAGCTAAGTCGATCGACAATGGCAATCTTTTTGCGAAAAGCCCCGTTCCTTTTAAATTTATAATAATTCAACACGACCACCCTGATAACATGCACATGACTCAAGTCTCGAGGCTGAGACATCATTCACCCTCTCCGCCTGCTTAAACCTCTTCTAAAAAAAGTGAGAAGCTTTGCTTCACTGGAGCCACCTCGAAGATTCATGCCAGTCCAGATGCCTCACTCCCACGAGTCTTCTATACATATGACTGGCGCGACCGACCAACCGACTGGGAAAGAGAGAGGACACGGCCAAGTTCTAGCTAACATATCGTAACTGCAAAGATTGCGCATTGGCAGGTGGCAGTTATCGCGCGCATGTTCTAGGAAATCTCGAAACGAAATCCGCCAAGGGGCTTCTTCTATCGCTTCGAGACCGCTCAATGGGTATAGGACTCTTTTGGGAGGATAAAGCGCTGACTTCTAAGTCGGTGCCGTGCTGAAGTCATTGCATGGGCCACAGACGCATTCAAAACCCGCTACGATTTCGGATGGAAATCAAATGTAGGGTATCTTTCAAAACGGAATTGTTGAAGGCTAAAAGAACTTCAGAGTTCAATATAGCACTTGTATAGGCTATCAATGGTACATTACGTACTTTATCCACGAAATGCATTACCATGGTGTTCAGACTGTAGCCACACGCAACGTCTATGGCGACACTCCACTTCATCTCGCCTGCTATGGTGGGCGACTGGATGCTACCAAAGCGCTCATCGAAGCTGCAGCCGGATCACATCTGATGGTGTCGGTAAGGGTTTTCTTAGGGCTTCTACATTTCATCATTCTTATCTTTGTATTGTATTGTCAATCTTGACCCTGTAAATTTGCGGGAACTGCATCTTGTTCAAAAGAGTTCCTGCTTCCCGAACGGGACACATTGTTGAAAAGGGCAGTCAAGACGTTATAGAAGGGCAATTCAATCAAAATTGATGTAATTCTTATTGCAGGAAAACGTATTCTCAGAGACCCCACTGCATGCAGCATGCACGGGTGGTAAATCTATCGAGCTGATCGCATATCTGATGAAACAGCCTGGAGTTGATCCTAACTACCAAGGACAAGATGGCCATACAGGTGAGCGTACTTAGAGGAGGGAAGAAAGTGGCCTCGGCGATCGAATCCGATCCGAATTTATCTTTCACTCCTGCCCACAACATATTTTGTCAGGCTATAACATTCCTTGGATGCTCCTTTCTTTCCTGCTCTCCAAGAAAAAAAAGCGCTAAGGCGAATAACCTCTGATATCTCTCTAGTTATAAACACGGCCCAATTGTTTACGGTGGTGATATTCATGTACCTTACGATGACTTCCTGTGGGACTGGCTACTCTACTAATTCACTACCTGAAACCTCGCAGAACACAAAAAAATTCTAGCATAAACGTCTCCTCTATTCAAAAATTGACAGTCCATTCATCCACTTGCAGCTCTTCACTCGGCATGTTACCATGGACATCTACAGATTGTACAGTATCTGCTTGAAAACGGTGCTGATCAATCGCTTGCAGCTCGTACAAACGAAAGACCCGCAGCGGTCCAAAGGACACGTGAGTGCCTAGTCGTGGCCATATGAACTCTGCTTATGACCCAACAAATATTTTTTAGCCCAGTCGACGTTCGCAGCAGCAATCATGGCCCTGAATCGCCCAGAGACGCTATCAGGGATATCGTCGCGGGATTCGGTCGTTTCCGTTGAGGTTCGTACTGGTCCACAATATTTTCCTCCTATCATGGTTAGAGCAGGGGCAGGTGTAGCTGTTACCGCACGTACTGCTTGGAGATCGAACTCTCCATCGGATCCCGCTTATGCGAAACATTTCTGCATCAAAATCGAGCATTACGTCGGGGAGAAGTGGAGGGTTCATACTGAGAAGTGACATTCTTCGAATTCATCAAATGCCGATCTTTCTTGGCTACGATCCTTCCCTTACCAAGTGGGACTCGGATAGGACTACTTTTCAAACAAATCCTACACTGATAAGGAATCAAAGAATGCCCCGAAATTGTTTGAAGGAAGATTCTTCCCTACAGATTTTCCGTAATCTATGCAAGCAAATTCCTTTAGGATTCCAAATTTTATCTTCTACAAGTATGGCTCTGAGGAACTCTTTCATAGAGATGTAGCTAGTACCAGGGTAGGTTACTAGATAGGCTTTCGGGAAGAAGCGGAAAGGAGAACAGCAATAAGGGTGCTTTTATGATAGAGCTGAAATCGATCGAAGAAGTTTGTGTCGTTGCAGGACCAGCAGACGCCGGTGATTTGGGCTTATGAAAAAGGTCATGACCGTATTGTGGCTCTGCTGAAACAGTATGCCAACAAACGACCTGATGCCGATGTATGCAGTGAGTACAGGTACGTCAAAAAAGTGGTGCATATCTTTTCACATCAAGCCCTCTTCACTCGTGGAGAAATAAATAAAGAACGTCAAATAAGGGGTAATTTCACGGAACGCAAACGTCGCACTGGAGTTCACGCCAATATTCAACTACTCGGGCTAGACATTTCATACAGTAACCCCCAGGCTTGCCTTCCACCCACCACCGTGTTCTTGCCCAAGGCCACTTTTCGACGCGTCGTGTAAGTGACGGGCGAGAGTTTCCGTGTAAAATATGGTAGTTCCATGCCGGATTACTGTAAGGGCCGAGCGCCGCAATGAACTTTCATTTCTGTCTGTCATAACGTCACCTGCGGGAAGCTCTACTCCAAACATTACTTTTCATTTGCACACCGTATTACCCTCCGACTAGTTTCCTGTCATCTACTCTCTCTGCTAAAAAAATGGGACGGAAGTTCCTAGACTACTTAACAGCTCTTTTTTGCACCTGTATTAGCAAAAGCGCAAGAAAAAATCTTCACGAAGGGTTTGTGAAATAAGGGGAGAGAAATTTTATTCAACTTTTTACCAGAAGGAGTCGTACATGAAGATGGTTATACAGATAAACTTTCAGCATTTAGCAAAGGTTATCATTACAGCTTAGTCTGTTCTGTTCTGTTCTGCAGGTGTTAAAATGGCTCACAAGATCTGGTGACCCCGTACTTTGTGGTGGGCTGGTTGAACGCACTGTTAGGAATACGTAGGGGCTAATGTTGTGTTGAAGCTACAGATGGTGATGCTATGAAAATAAGTGATTTTAGATTTAAGGTTCCTAGCTTGGGCTGAATTCAAAGGTGCCCAGTCATACCATTCAAGTAAAACTCTTCAATGCCAGAGTCCAGTAGATATATGTACATCATATCATGCTATTTGATTTTACGTTAGCTATCCGAAAACTTCGATATGTTACTGTCATATTACCCAAATTACCGTCATTTCCTATCTGACGATCTAGTCGCTGCTGAGTGGCGAAAGAGTGTATGAGCAGCCCTGAGAACTTTACCAGATTGAGTTCTCTCCGTTTTCCTCGTTCTTATCTACGCAACCTAAAAATTTGTTTTCCCTAAAGGCAAAAATCGAAGCATGCTTCTCACTTCATTTATCCGTTTAGTTCTGGAGATTCCTCGTACACACCACTCCCTTCACCGATGGGTCGACTACGGTCAATGACCAAAGAAAAAGCGGAAGTTCTACAGCTTCGATCAGCACTTCCACCGATATTTCATCTGTCTCTAGCTGACATTGACTTCCAGGTAGCCTCCCGAACACCTTGCTTCCTACCACTTCTGTTTCTTATTACCCTAAAATTCCATGGATAAGAGCGGTTGAGACTACCGGCGAAAAATGAATTGGAATGAAATTGAAATTGAATGCAGTCACCCTCTAACTTGATGGATGGATAAATT